CTAAAGATGAAGTGATGACGAGGTTGGTGATAGTGATGGTGATGAACATGCTGACGCTGGTGCTGGTGTAATGCTGATGGCGATGTTGATGAGGAGGAGGATGATGGTGACGATTACGCAGATGATGATATTGCGTATGACGATGGCGATGATAATGAAAGTGTCGTGGTGATGATGATGCTGGTGGTGGTAATCATGAGGATGCTGAGGATGAGTATGATGATTGAGATGCGGATAACGATGATGTCGACGATGATTAGGATGATGATGATGATGATGCTGATGATGATGATTCTGATGCTGTTGGTGGTGGTGGTGGTTGTAATGCTGATGACGATGATGATGCTGCTGATGATGAGGACGAGGATGAGGATGATGAGGATGCCGATGCTCGTGATGGTGTTCATGACTCTGCTGATGATGCGGTTGAGGAGGAGGATGATGAGAATGATGATGCTGCTGATGACGATTATGATGATGATGATGATGATGATGATGATGATGATGATGATGATAGTAATGTTCATGGTGATGCAGATGATGCTGATGCTGAAGATGATGATGCTGACGACGACGATTGTGTTGGTGATGGCGACGGTGACGCTGGCGGCGTTAATGATCAGGAGGAGGAGGATGAACACATGACGATGACAATGACGATGACGACAGTGCCGACATTGACGATGGTGACGACGATGATGATGATGATGCTGATGATGATGCTGCTGATGATGGTGGCGGTGATGCTGCTGATGATGATGAAATGATGATGATGATGATGATGATGATGATGATGATGATGATGATGATGATGATGATGATGATGATGATGATGATGCTGATGCTGATGCTGATGCTGATGATGATGATGATGATGATGATGATGATGATGATGCTGATGATGAGGATGATGATGATGATGATGATGATGATGCTGATTATGACGATGATTCTGCTGTCGATGATGATGATGATGATGGTGATGATGATGATGATGATGATGATGATGATGATGATGATGATGATGATGATGATGAGGCGGAGGAGGAGGAGGAGAATGACCAGTGGAAACCCAAGAGTCATCAACGTTATTGGGATTAACCCTCCCTCCATGCTCCCTCTTCATAGGGCCCTATCACCTTTCATTTCCATTGGGGGAACTGCCTCGCTGGAAGACAGCAGTTTGAAGATGCTGAAGCGTGCCGAAACATTGTTCTTGGGATTGCAACGCCACGTGTCAACCTGACTGCTGCGTCTTGACGATCCAGAACCGTGCCAGAACGCCATTTTTGGGACTTCAACACAGCGAATCAACATAACTGTTGCGCCTGCACAATCCTGAACCCTTCCAGAACATTATTTCTGGTACGTTGATCATCTGGTACGTTGATCATGGGAACCCTTGAAACTCTTGCAACTGTTTAAAGCGAATGTGCGCGGCGCTAAGGCGAGAGCCACATTTTGAAAAGGAGCCACCCTCAATCCATGAAGCTTATGTAAAAGTTTTAAACTCAAGTGCGTGGCGCTTGGGCGAGAGCCACATTTTGAAAGCGGCCAGCCCTCAATCCGTGAAACTCTTGCATTTTTTGTAAAAGAATGTAATCGAATATGCGCGGCGGTAAGGCGAGATCCATAGTTTGAAGGCGACCCGCCCTACATCAGTGAAACTGTTGTCACTTTTTAAGCGTCGGACTCATATGGTGAGGACGTCTCAGGCGAAACGCCCGGCCCGCCCTAAGAACTGGCTTCGGGGTGCAACAGGGAGTAGTCATCTAGAAGGAGAAGGAATGGAGGAGGAGGAGGAGGAGGAGGAGGAGGAAGAGGAGAAGGAAGAGGAGGAGGAGGAGGAAGAGGAGGAGGAGGAGGAGGAGCAGGAGGAGGAGGAGGAGGAGGAGGAGGATGGCGTTGATGATCCCCTGCTCGCCTTCGAATCATAACTCGGGTCTCCCGCGGTCGTTCGGGACATTTCTGGCTCCCCCTGGAACGCCGTCGGCAGGGCGGAGCCGCTGGAAGGCAACCCGAGGCTGCAACACCGCCGACAGCCGACGAGCATGTCCGACAAAGATCGAACCTCGGAGCAGTTCGAGGGATGAGGACTGGCCGAGCAGGGGGAGGACGGCGAGGAGGGCGAGGAGGAGGAGAAGGAGGCGAGGAGGGCGACGAGGTGGAGGAGGTATAGGAGGAGGAGGAGGAGGAGGAGGAGGAGGAGGAGGAGGAGGAGGAGGAGGAGGGCGAAGAGGAGGAGGAGGAGGAGGAGGAGGAGGAGGAGACGAGGAGGCGACGAGGAGGAGGGCGACGAGGAGGGCGAGGAGGAGGAGGAGGAGACGAAGAGGAGGGCGAGAAGGAGAAGGAGGAGGAGGATGGCAAGGATGAGGTCTGGGGGAGCACCCGGCCCCCCACCTCTCCTCGCGGCAGGTGGAGCGGTTGCTCCCCGGGCAGATGGCGAGCCTGGTCTCGCACGTGCGCAGGCGGCCGCCTGCGGCGGCCAGTCGTCGTCGGCGGCGGCGGCGGTGGCGGCGGAGTCGGCGTCGACGTCGACGGCGTCGTCATTGTTGTCTTCGGTTCCTCGCCCTCGTAGTCGTGGTCTTTGTTTGTCGTCGTCCTCTGTCGGTCCGTCGTCGCCACTGCCTCCTTCGGTGGACGCCACGCAGGAGGAAGAGGAGGATGAGGAGGAGGAGGAGGAGAAGGGGGAGGAGGAGAAGGAGGAGGAGGAGGAGGAGGAGGAGGAGGAGGAAGAGGACGAGGAGGAGGAGGTGGTGGTGGATTTGGTCAGGCCAGGCGCGGGGGGCGCTGGACCTCTCTGGGGGCGGGGGGCAGTCGTCCCGCCAGGGGTTATCCTTTTAAGCGATGCTGGTACATATGACTATCAGACCTGTCCTCGGTCGCAGCGCAGGAGGGCGGGGGTCGCGCAGAAGAGCCCGCAGGGCGGTGGGCATGGCGGGGGCGGGAGCAGGAGAAGCGAGGCCGCGGAGCAGCGGCAGCCGGAGGAGTCAGGAGGGGGAGCAGGAGCATGCTGATGCTGGTGCTGATACTGCTGCTGATGGTGGTGACGATGCGACGATGGTGAATGTGAATGTGACGACGAAGATGATGTCGATGAGGCTGCTGATGGTGACGAGGATGGTGATGATACTGTTGATGCTGCTGATGATGCTGCTGGTGATGCTGTTGTTGATTATGATGGTGTTGATGGTTGTGCTGCTGCTGATGATGCCGATGATGGCAATGATGATGATGTTGTTGTCGATGATTGTGCTGATGCTGCTGGCGACGACGACGATGATGATGCTGATGATGTTGATGATGTTTATGCTGATGCGGATGGCCATGATACTGCCAATAATGATGTGGAGGAGGATGAGGATTATGATGATGATGATGATGATGATGATGATGATGATGATGGCGATGCTGATGATGATTATGATGCTGTTGGTGGTGGTGATGATTATGGTGATGGTGATGGCGATGGCGTTGGTGATGGCGATGGTGATGGTGAGGGTGGTGATGATGATGAGTTCGACGCTGCTGCTGACGACGACGATGATGACGATGATGATGCTGCTGATGATGATGATGATGATGCTGCTGATGATGATGATGATGGTGGTGGTGGTGATGATGATGATGATGGTGGTGGTGGTGGTGATGGTGGTGGTGGTGGTGATGATGATGGTGGTGAGGAAGACGAGGAGGAGGAGGAGGAGGAGGAGGATGAGCAGACGTAGGCGGAGAAGGAGGATGCTGCTGCTGATGAGGATGTTGCTGCTTCTGATTGTTATGATGCTGATGATGATGGAGAGGAAGAAGAAGAGGAAGAGGAATAGACAGAGGATGATGGGGAGGACGAGGGGGAAGTAGAAGTGGACAGATCTGGAACTGGAGTTTCACTGGTGCCCCATCACCCTCCTCCTCCTCCAAGACCCATTCCCCGAGACCAGTTGTTCGTCCCAAGTAATTGTTCGACGACCCTGGGGCCCAGTGAGGGCCTCCCGATACCGCAGACATATTGAAATTCGTCCATCGTGATTTTCGTCACGACGCGAGGAGGTCTGGGTCCTCCCCGGGGAGCCGCTGGCCATGTCGATCCGATCGATCCGATCCGGAATGGGCATCGATCCCGGCCAGCTCGATCCGATTCGGTTCCGAGATTCCGGCAATCCGATGTGGCCCGATGTTTGTACAGTCAAAAACCCTAATAAGGACGCGCGACTTTGCTCAGGGTACCCTTGCGTCCTTGCTCTTCCTTGCTCTTGCGTCCTTGAGGTTTTCGTCGTCCGCCGCCCCAAAAATCCCAACTTCGGCTTCCAAGGGTCTTGCGTCCTTACCGCGCGTCCTCATTAGGGCTTTTGACTGTATGGCGCTGGGGTGAATCCCAGCGTAGCCTCTCCGACTGGAATTCGACTCGGTGCCTCGGATGGGCTCAATGTTTACGCCACGTCGTTTTGGCCGGCTGAGGAGCCACTGGATTCGGCGAAGGAGTTCGGGGCATGGACGCTGCAGCGTCCCACAGGTTGGGCAGCTGGGGCGTGCACACACCGAGCTTCATTGCCGACCACGCGACTTGGCGTGCCTACATCGCCCCCCCCCCGCGTCGAGGAGAGCCCGGGCCACGACGCGCGCTGTGCCCCTCCCCTCCCCCGCTCTCCCCCCCCCAACGTCACGCTCCTCCTCCCCCAGTGCGTCCCCGGCACTGCCGCAGTGCACCACAGTCCTGTGGTGCCGGACTCACACGGCGCAGGGGTGGCGTTACGTCATGCCCCCCTCCCCCTTCCCCCCCCCCTCCCTCCCCTTCATGACGCCCATGATCGCCGCGGAGTAAAAGATGCTGTCGAGTGCGGCCCGATCCTACGCACGCTCCGGATCCGATCCCGGCTCGCAGCCGTCCGGGCTCACCGCAGGACGCACCAAGGCGGCCCCGACCGCCTGCGGCCCTTGCTGCCGCTTAATTTTAGCCAGACCAGGGGCGTCTGCGCGCCCTCTGCGAGACCGGTGAGGCCATGTTCTTCGGCGGCGGCTTCCCCGGCATGGATGGCGGCTTCCCCGGCGGCGGCATGGGCGGCGCTCGAGGGCAATCGAAATCGAAGAAGAAGAACATCGACCAACAAAACAAGCGACACCACCCCACGTACCGCCCTCCCTGCTGCGCTACAGCTCATCGGGGGCCGCAGCGTATACCAGGCAAACGCCCTCGCCGGACTTCCTGGTGCGCGCTGAGCTCCGTGGGGCCGTAGGTGGGGTGGCGCTTTTTGCTGATTGGTCCACAAGAATCTGCTCCAACATCGGCTCCCGGAGTCCGGCGCGGATTTCCGAAATCTGCGCCGGGGCCCCCCTCTCCCTGGCGCGCTCCGCCGCCAGGGAGAGGGGTCCATCGCCGATCCGAGAACTCCGCGCGGACCTCCAGCAACACGTCAGTGCAGTTTTGTGGCCCTCCAGAGGCGGGTGCCCAGACCTTCTTTCAGAGCCCCGAATCATCAGGGGTAACTCGGGTCAGGGATTACTCGGGTTCCTTTTTCGGGAATCCAAGCCCGAGTTACCCCGGACCCGAGTTACCCCGGATAACTCGGGCGTCCAGAGCCCCGAATCATCAGGGGTAACTCGGGTCAGGGCTAACTCGGGTTCCTTTTTCGGGAATCCAAGCCCGAGTTACCCCGGACCCGAGTTACCCCGGATAATTCGGGCGCCCAATTCTTGGCCGCTTTCGGCCCCCTCGCCATGGGTGGGGGGCCCTGTAGCCTCACCGGGCCCCCAGGCTGTCAACAGAAGGGCCTGGAGCGAAGAGCTGGCCCTGGGGAGGGGGTCGGGAGTTCTAGGAGTCCACGTCGCGACAAGTACCACGACGTCAGAGGCCAAGGAGGGACCGCAGAGGTGGGACCGGGATCGAGCGCCGAGGCTCGAGGCTCGATTGTTATGTTCCGTTCCTGCCCTTCTCGGGCCTTCGTCAGAGTCTTCCGGAGGCCTTGGGAGACCTCGGGGGACCTCCATCTTGGGCGCCTCACTTTCCACTCGCTTCGGGGCGCAGGTGATGGGTGCCAGCCCTGCCAAGGGAGAGGGAGAGAGAGAGAGAGAGAGAGCCGTACCCGTCAGAGGTGCATTGGCGAGATGGTGAAACAAACCGCTATAGTACAGTTCCAGCGGCTCTGTTGTGGAGCAAAGGTGGGACAACGGAAAGGAGCATTCTTGTTGCAGGGTCTGTGGATCTCGAAACGAGGCTGACAGCACCAGCAGGGCCAGGGCACGGGCCAAAGGCGAGGGGCACGGCGGGAAGGGAACGGGCCAAGCAACACTCAAGCGTGAAACGTTGGCTGAAGCGTGAACCAGAGATGATTTCGGCATCACCCCAACACGCAAATACTGCATGCGCGTCGCCACAGAAGGGGCGACGCGCTCGCCGAGAACCCTTTGGGTATGAGCTCCTTGGAGGGCGCTGTCTGGGCATACCGCTCGGGAAACGACATGCTACAATATGCTTGTATTGTACAGTGCCGTTTTGAATACATGCTCCGCGTGCGGATCATGTATTAAACATGCAAGGATTTAGTATTAAAAACAACGATGAGTTCATGCATAACCTATTCATGAATTAAGCATGTTTTCAAATCCTATGTCTTAAAACATCACATGTGTGAAAAACTGCCCTGGGTTGTATGATCGGGTCGCGCGCTCGCCTCCGAGGAGGGCACGTAGGTACGAGTAGAACTTTCGGCGTCCCATGGATTGGGCAAGCATGCCGTGAGGGTGCTAACTAATAGCCCGGGGGGGCGGCACTCCGGGGCCGCTGCCCGAGTGCAGGCGGCTTCTCACTCCAGCCCGGGGCCGCAGGAGGCGACGAGGCCGCGACGGGGCTGCGAGGGCGAGGGCGAGGCTGCAGCGAGGGAGAGGCCACGGCACGCGTGGCCTGCGACAGACGGGGGAAAGCCCCTCGCACCGCGGGTCGCCCTGCCGCGTGCAGGGCGCCCAACGGCGCCTCGAGCCCGCACAGGCAGGGCCGCCGGGCGGCGCGGCTGCTCCGCGGGAGACGCCTCGGCGCACCGCCGGCACTCCTCCTCCTCCTCCTCCTCCTCCTCCTCTTCCTCCTCCTCCTCCTCCTCCTCCTCCGCGTCGGGCGCTGCCCTCTGGGAGCCGATGCCGCTCTTTCGGAGGTTTCTGCACGCACGGAATGGGCGCGGAAAGAAGGGGTGCAGTGCCCAACGGCGGATCTCTTGTTCGTTTTGAACAGAACTCGCTGTCCGCGCTGCCGCGGCCTGTGTTCGTTCGGGACAGGAGGCCGCCTGCCCAACAGCGGCCGCTGTTGGTTTGGGACAACATTTGTTGTTGGGCATTGTACCCATTCTTTCCGCTCCCATCTCGGGCGTCCAAACAGTTGGAGCATGTGCATCGCCAGTGGCGGGCTCTCTCTCTCAATCCCAGGACTCGTCGAGGGTCGGGGGCGGCGTCGGGGTGGCGTGGTGCAGACTTTTTCCCCGCTTCCCCGGGGAAGCAGGGAGAAATGTGTACACCAAGACCCCATGTGCACCAGGGTCCGCTTTCTGGTGAGAGTTTCAGCGCAGGGCCGGAAAAAGCGTTGGTGTATAGCGGTATAGCGTTCGGTTCCCTACTTTTCCCATGCGCAGCCATTGGTAGTATGCCAATGAAGAGCTGAGCTTTCGGCTCTTGCACGTCTGCAAGACAATCCAGTTTCAGGCGATCGCAAACATGGATTGAGGGGGCGTGGATTAGCGACGGGTCCCATTTCCATAGGAAATCGCTGATTGCCGCCGCCGGACGAGGCGCCACCAGCCGCACTTTGGGGAGGGCACCTCCCTCGATCCATGGATTTGGCGACCGCGCTCCAAATCCATGGATCGCTAATCCACATTTGCGCGCCCCCGATCATCTTCTCCAGAGCTTGCTCACAGTTGAGTCCGCGCTGCATCGCTCTCTTTACACGCTCTGTAGTGTAGCCTTTTGGTTCAGTTCTTTTCCCCCTGCATGTGGGAGCATATTTCAGGCTGGCTTCCAAGGCTCATCGATCTCTCGATCCAGTCAGCTGTATCCGCGGCAGTGTGCTCGCGGTCTGATACTGCGGTCAACCTCTCTTGCCCAGCGCCGCCGCCTGCGCAGGTGGAGCTGCGCTGTCCAGATCTGCACATCCCGCCGATACACGTGGAGTGTGTCGGCGCCGGGGCGGCGGGCTCTGGCTTCTTCCCGCAGGTGGTCTACGAATTCTTGGGCCTGGTCCTCTTCGTGTCGGGCTGGGTGTGCGGGGCGCTCTTGACGGTGCCAACCTGGTGGTGTGCGAGGCGTAGTACCGCGCCTACGGGAGCCTCCCCTCAGGAGGCAGTGCCGACAGTTGATCTACAGGATCTCGCCCAGCATCAGCTTGCATTGATCCGCGATCGTCGGCGAGATGGCGAGGGCAGGTGACGTGCTGCTCCTGAAGTACAATGTGCCAGGGCCTGACCTCTGGCACGAGAGGATCGTGCTGGCGGTCCACCCTACGGATGCTGGGAACTACTTCATGCTCACGCCTGACGGCGACACGTACATAGAGGACTGCTCGCCCGCCTCGGCTGATGTCGAACGGCTTCGGGGTTCTGGAGGTCTCGGCGATACTCCCCATGGGCTGCAGGGTGCGCGCATCTATCGTTTTCGACGGCCCCCCGCCGCGGAGGAGCTGCGGCAGCACTTCATCGATGCGGCGCTCGCGCTGGGGCTGCCGGCGCCTGCTGATGGCCTGCGGGTGCGGCGCGTGGGAGGCGACGACATCGTCCCGCGCGCTGGCCCTCCTCCCCCTCAGGGTCCTGTCGACCCCAGGCCGCCTGGCCAGGGAGTGAGGGCGGCGGGAGCCGCCGCGCCGCCGCTGCGGGCTGACCTGGTGTGGGTTGCTGCTGAGGACGCCGAGGAGCTGCCCAAAGGCACGGAGGTCGAGATCACGGTGGACACCATCTCGGCAGGTGATCGTGCCATCATGCCGTGGAAGGGCGGCTACGTTTTCGTACGACAGCTCACGCGTCCCGAGGTCTACCGCTTCACCTATGATGATCTACGAGTTCAGCTAGTGGCTTTTGACGCCAGCGGAGCCCGCCGAGTGACATTCGGCGAGGGCGTGCAGAGGCAGGATGACACCCTGCCAGCTGGTGGGATCGACTTGCAGGGCCCGAGGACGGCAGCCTGGTTCTGTCGGCACGTCGCCGAGAACGGCCCCACCCCTCAGGCAGCACACGAGTCGTGGTTGCGCAAGGCCAAGCTACACGAGGGGGACAGGGCCATCCACGAGCACTTCGTTCTGTCCCAGGTGCTCGCTGCGGCAGTTTGCCACGATCAGCTGAACATTCCAGCTCTCAAGTCAATGGAGTTGGTGGTGCGTCGGCTTCAACTCATCAAGTCTGCCTACGCGCAGTCAGCCTCTGCTCCAGACTTCTCAGGAGCAGATCACTTCATGGGATGGGGTCCTGTTGCAGCTTCGGCATCAGTGGCCCCCGAGCTGGCTGCCCATGTCGCCACCAAGTTCAGGGATGAGGCCGCCATCCTCAAGGAGTCCCGCAAGGCTGCCGAGGAGAGGCGGACCAGGCAGCCCACTGGTCGTGGAGGTCGAGGAGGCCGAGGCAGAGGAGGTAAAGGGCTCGCCCCGGCCGACGGGGAGGGGGAGTCATGATGCCCATGCCTCCTGGCTCGCGAGCTTGGTCCACTCGCAGAGCCGTGCCAAAGTCAGCGGACCCCGCTTCAGCAGGTTTTGAGAGGTATGTGGGCGCCAGTCGCCAGCGCGACCTCTTCCCACTGCCATCTGTTGAAGTGGATGAGCGTCCTGATCCTGGGTTGTCTGCTACATTGAGGAGGCGTGGGAGGCAGCTGCTCGCGAATGGGGTCATCGATGCCCTCAACATTTTAGCCTCCCCAGCCGCCATCGCTTCGCATCGGCCCACTGCCGCTCGCCGAGCTGCCCGCGGCCAAGTTTTGTCTACTCTGGCGGCGAGGCCCTCATGCACATCATTGTGCAAAGACCGCGAAGCCCTGAAGGCGCTTTGCGGATCGGAGTTCTCCTACGCTGGGGCGGACTCCAGTTGCAGCGTGGAGCCGTA